CTAGATAAATTAATGGTAATTTATGAGAATAATTCTATTTTATTAAAAAAAAAAAACTTTTACAAAGACTAGTTCAAACTAGGCTTAATTTTATAATTAGAAAAATAAAAAGGAAAAAAATTATAACTAAACATTTCAACGAGTCCATACAAAGGATATTTTATCCTACTAGTTCAAACTAAGCTTAATTATTCTCACCCTCACTTTATTATTTCTAAGAAAACTCTTATTATTTGTGTACAATTTATATAATGTGCTATCTATTAGGCTATTTGATGTACGTTGTAAGGCTCTGTTTTTTTTTTTCTTCAAATTCTTATCTTACTTTATTATATATCTAAACCACCAAACTAGTCTTAGTACTTATTATATATAATAAGAAAAATAATATTATTTTGTTGGTCTCCGTGTCTAAAAGCCACATTGAGGTCAAGAAGCATTTGAGAGTGCAAAACTCTTCTACCTTCCATGTATTACAAGACCCAAACTCAATTCATTATTTTACTTGAATAAAAAACATTAATTTGTAAGTTGAATCTTGGACCTACAGGCGTTAATGGCACACTAAAGTTACATAGACACCCCCCCCCCCAACCCTCCCAAAAAAAATGCCGTAGTTCATATTGTTTAATAAGCTAATTTGATACGCATTATTCAATCGTCCAAAATTTAAGGACAATATCATCTTTAGTATTATCATCCATGAATTGAAAAATTATAACAGAAACATTTTTATATGAAATAAAATAAAAAATTAATTTCATTGTTGAGAGTTTAAAATATAAAAAAGTTTAAATATTATGCGCCATCAACTTATTTTACAATAGAATGTCCGTGAATGAGTATCATCTCGTTAATGAATGAATATATAGTGCACTGGGAATCAAATAATAAATACTAATTTTAAAAGCTTTAAATTAATAAAAGTAAAAAGTTGGTGTGTCATTATTCTCACGTGTTGCAATCTTTCTCCCATAGCCAAATGCCCTAAATTGAAGTTCGTTGGTGACCATCGTGCCAATGGAAATTAACGATCCCCTCGTTGAAACTGGGAGTTTTACTATATTTTCTAGCAATAGAAGTTCTGTGCTAATGATTTTATGTCTCAACATTTTTGTCCCTAATTAGACTATGTTCATGTAGTATTACGAAGAATCCCTGCAATCTATATTTCAAGGTACGAATAAAGTTTTCATGGTTCTTATTAATTCATCCGCAGCGACAAATAAGAGAAAGCAAAATTGGTTTAGGTACAAGAAAAAGGATGCGTAAGACGAACAGCAAAGAAGAAAAAGAAAACCTTTCAGTTGACAAATTTTTAGCATCGATATACTGGGTATAAGGAAAAGATCACGTGCATAAAATTGTTTGTCTTTTTTATTACTAATTAAAAATTAATAGATTTAACACTCTAGAATATCATCTACCATTTCCATGGCGTAGTTGTTTGGTTATCTAAAATCCTTACGTGAGAAATGGAATCAAGCCATATTAACGGGACGTCAACGTCTCATCGTTATATATATATAAAACTCAAAACTCTTATGCATGTGCTACTTCTAATACTTGAGTATGAGTTGTGAAGCTGAGTGACCCATGGCCGGCACATTCATTATTAAACCGAAACATACTATTGAGCTAATAGTAATGTGCAAATTATTCTAGTTGCTTCTGGTGTCAACTTGTTTTTGACATATGCTGTCACTTGGTTTCATTATTTTATCCATTTTTTAATATATTCAAGGATATATAATAAAAAATTGTATCTAATACTATTTTTATAAAATTATAAGATAATGTTTAATTTAATATAGTATAATGTTAAATATTATAATTTTAATAAATATTTATTATTTTTATTATGTACTCTTAAACACATTTTTAAATCCAAAAAATATTATAACAGTTAATAGAGTCAAGATCACCTAGGCACAAGGTTCATGAATTAATTACCGGCCAAAACATTGTTTTAAAGTACAAAGATTCGTCCACCTGTGTCATTATGCCAACTGGCCATTTCTATTTAACCACGTTATCAATCCAATGGATTTCTTTAATAAAAAATTACTAGTTTTTTTATATTAATTTTTTATTTTTTATAAAATATTTAAAATTTACAATATTTTTGTTATAAAATATTTTTTGTAATGAAAATGTCAAAATATAATAAACACTTTTACTTTTGAAAAAATTAATTTTAGATACTTAAAATCAGTCTTAAAAATTAATAACAATTTTCAAAATTTATATTTTGCATTTTATTTTTAATATTTTTTATTTAAGGTAATGACATAAAAAATGATTAAATAGTTTCTATAAAAATGAATGAACTGGTGCAGATATAAAAAGATATGATATGTTATATAATTAATACATTGAGTATTTGAGATTTAATTTATTTATGCCACCTACGTATATACGGTCCCCCTAAAGAAGAAGTGGAGTAATCCCAAGGGTTCATAGCATTGTACTTTAGTATAATTTTTTTTCATGGTAAGCTTTGCACTGTCACACACCTGGCAACTGTCAAGTTCACTGTCACACATAAAACCCAGAGAACAGATATGGTTGGGCCTGAACTGTGAGCCACGTGGCTGATTCCAAGGTACATTGTAATCAAAATGGCTAAGAGGATCTCAGAACTTGGACAAATCCCACTGTCCACAGTGGCAGACCACATTATTTACCACTCTCCAGTCTACTGTTCATGGTTTACTCCTCCTAATTTTTAAACTTCAATGTTTTATATAAAAAATTAAAATTAATTAATATGCTAATTTTCTATTTTATATTTAATCTATTTGGATTAATCTTTTATTATAAAGGAGCAATACATTAATATATTGTCTTTAGTCAAACAATTAACTATAGCACAGACCAAAATGTGGTACAAGTTGATTTATATAAGTAATTATAGGAGTTTTGTAATGACAATCTTGAGCTAGTAATAATTATTAATATGATATATTATGTATGCTGATACAAACCGACAAATCAGAAATGGCGGTTGTGGAGATTCTGAGTAGTTGGTTTAACTAAACTATTTTCTGCATTCAGATGATCCAAAACCTAAGTTACTGAAATATATTAATGATAGAAAGAAATGAAGGCACAGACATAAAATAAGGCTCAAGTAGCCGTAACAATATTTGATTGAGGATGTGAGACAGTTCAGAATTAGCTCAACAGTTGAGATTCTAAGGAGCCGACCTTTTTGGGATTTGAGGAATCACAGCACACATACAGAACGCTAATAGTCGGCGCTCCTCTTCCTTTTCTTACCTGTAAGATCTCTTTTTAATCCTTACAAATATTTATTATAAAAAACATCTTATGATTATAAACATATTTTACATTTTTCATTTCACTATATTCGTACCCTTCATTTTTTATTTATATATTATTTTAGTTATTAATTTTAATTAAATGCATTAATTTTTTTGTAAATTTTATTTTATTTAACATAAGTGTACTATAACTTCGGGACATGACAAAACATTGTGGTGAAAGAAACGCGAGTCACTGGCCACCTTGGAGACATAAAAATACAGCAATATGTGTATGTGAACAGTATATGGGTGCAATTAGAATTGTTTGTCCTGATAAAAATGATTAATTAGTTTCAGATTGCGAAGAATTTTGAAAAGAAAATATTTGAGTTGGGGAGGAGTTAGTATTTGGGAAAGAAAGAAGATGACGAAAGATAGGGTGAAGGAGGAGACAAATGGGATCAGCGATTGCAGTGCATATATTTGCAATGTGTCCTTGAAGGTAGACCACCCACCACAGGGTCTGCGATACTCCTGCGATTTTAAGAAAAATCTGGGAGATCCATGGTAATCTCCAAATTTGCATCACATCTTTTATTATTATTTCGATTTGGGATTTCAGATACTTGTTTTGCCTTTTACATAACATATCCAAATCAAGTACGTCCCCGTTCCCCCCTTTTTTCCGCTCACTTTCTCTTACTAAGTTCATTCAACCTTCCCATAATATCCACCGCGAGACAATCCCACGTGTATGTATACAAAATAAATAACAATCAAAACCTTTTTTATCGTTATTATTACAATTATTTTATCTCCAATTAATTAAAATCACAACATGCTTTTCAATTTATTCACTGTATACTCCACATTCCAAACCATGTCTTTCAAAACCAAAATTATTTCTTTTAATTTCTAATATGCGTATATATATAAATATCCATGACATCACATTGATGTTAATTTTTAATTGCTCAAGTAACAATTGTTAACGAATTATATCATTTGACATCAATTTTTTTTATTAAGTCTAAAATCATGTTATGCATTTTATAATTAAAGGATTACTAAGATCTTAAGTGATTGAGAATTCATAATATTTTGAAATTTAATCTTAAAAAAATGACATAATTCGAATTTAAAGACATTTTCATGTGCGAAAATCATAAATAATACAAAACAAATCTTGACGAATAATTATACTAATAACCAATTGATGGTTTTCGTCAGTTTCTTTCTTTTTTGATTCTCTAATTTATTATTTAGCCTATGAAAAGTGTAAGAAATTCGTGCTATTTAACAATCCTCTTTCATGTGTTTATTCACACGTCACATAATTTATTTTTTTGCCAAAGTTTTCCACAATGAATTAAAAATTTATTAATTCTTAATATATCATCAATTCCCATTATTTTTAATATATGCAAAAGAACAGAAACAGTAAAAAGAATAAGAGACAAGTGTCTTTTTGCATCTTAAGTGTAGCTATCAACTTATCTTTAAAATTAATCAGAATATAAAATGAGTTTTATAAATGAACCATTTTGTTTGTTTCACACATTTCACATCAAAAAGTAACCAAAGCAACCGGAAAGGCTGATCGAAACTTGAAGGTTAAAATTAGGAATTTATTATCAAAACCACTGATAGGAGATGGAAATAAATAAAATATAGAACGCAAACAGGACTCAATCTGACCACTCTCACTCGTCAGCAAGAGATTAAAAAAAAGTGTCAAATGCATGAACCGAACACCATTCCCTGAGTTATATATATGGGAGTGCTCTCCCATCCCATCCCATCCCACCCACTACTACTCACTTGCCAATTACGCACACCACCAGCAAGTGAGAAGAAGGGACAAAAATCTCTTTTATCCAAACCAAAATGCCTTCTTCTGAAACCACCATAGTCTCAAAATGCACCGTATTCCCAGACCGAAAGTCCACTCTGAAAAACCTCAAACTCTCAGTTTCGGACCTCCCCATGTTGTCCTGCCACTACATCCAAAAGGGATGCCTATTCACCCAACCTTCTATCCCTTTCCACACTCTCATCCCTATCCTCAAATCTGCTCTCTCTCGAACTCTCTCTCTCTTTCCCCCTCTTGCCGGCCGTCTCACCACCGATTCCGATGGTTACGTCTACATCACCTGTAACGATGCCGGCGTCGATTTCCTCCACGCCAATGCCACCGGACTTTGCATCTGCGACCTATTGTCCCCACTCGACGTCCACGATTCCTTCAAGGAATTCTTCACCTTCGATAGCAAAGTCAGTTACACCGGCCATTCCTCTCCGATTTTGGCCGTCCAGGTCACCCAACTCGCCGATGGCGTTTTCATTGGCTGCGCCGTCAATCACGCCGTCACCGACGGCACCTCCTTTTGGAATTTCTTCAATACCTTCGCGCAGGTCTACAGAGGAGCCAGTAAGTGCCTCCAAAACGTCCCGGACTTCCGCCGCGAGTCCGTTCTAATCTCCGACGCCGTTCTCCGGTTGCCGGAGGGCGGTCCTTGCGTGACGTTCGACGCCGACGCGCCGTTGCGAGAGAGAATCTTCAGCTTCAGCCGCGACGACATTCAGAAGCTGAAAGCCCGAGCAAACAACCGCCGGTGGCCGGAGAATAACAGCGCCGCTGAGTTGATGGGGAAACAGAGCAACGATCCTCACGTGAAGGAGAACAGTAAAGTCGTCACGATTCTCGAGAACTGGTTCAAGAGCACAGTTAATTCAAAACAGCAAACGGTCACCGAAACGGTTGAGATTTCGTCGTTTCAATCGGTGTGCGCGCTGCTGTGGCGCGCTGTCACGCGCGCGAGGAAGTTTCCAGCGTCCAAAACGACGACGTTTAGAATGGCAGTTAACTGTCGCCACCGGATAGAACCTAAATTGGAAGCGTACTACTTCGGGAACGCGATTCAGAGCGTGCCTACTTATGCTTCTGCGGGCGAAGTAGTGTCAAGGGATCTACGGTGGTGCGCGGAGCAGTTGAACAAGAACGTGAGGGCGCACGACGACGCTATGGTGCGGCGCTTCGTAGAGGATTGGGAGAGGAACCCGAGGTGCTTCCCGCTTGGGAACCCCGACGGTGCATCGATCACTATGGGTAGTTCACCGAGGTTTCCAATGTACGACAACGATTTCGGTTGGGGGAAGCCTATGGCGGTGCGGAGTGGAAGGGCGAACAAATTTGACGGTAAGATTTCGGCGTTTCCCGGTAGAGATGGCAGCGGAACCGTTGATTTGGAGGTGGTGTTGGCGCCCGAAACAATGGCGGGGCTGGAATCTGATCCCGAGTTCATGCTATACGCCACGAGGCAGTCATGACACGTGTCGTATCGCGGTGCTCCCAGCGTAACTATTTGATCCACATGACGTGTCAGGTTCTCGTTCCAACGGTGATGATTTGGTTCCGGACTGGGGGCTGTATCCTTGTGACATAATGTTGTATTTTTTAGCTTTTTCTATTATCTACTTTTACTTTTTGAGTATGATGTATTGTTTGTCATGTGTCTACGTAAGAAACAATTTCCTTTAGTTTTGTCTTCCACCATTACATCTGTATCGTCACTGTATTCCTTTTTTTTTTTAGAACGAGGGACGGATTTAGAAAATAATTGAAGGGAGAGTCCAAGAATAAATAAATATTGTAATAAAGTATAAAATTATTACCATTAATTAATTTTGTTTTAAGAGTATATAAATGTTATTTTTATTTTTGAAATTATTATCCCTGGTCAGTTCTATTTTTGACATTAATGGTGATATGTGTTATTCAAATTAATTTAATATACTGATACATACTTGGAATTATATTAATTAATAAATACTGGAATTGAATAATTAATTTTATAGTTTATAAATTACAATCGAAAAGAAGATAAAATATTGGGAGTTGGGACTCGGCTCAAGTACTGCCGTACTAGAGACTACAAAGGCGTGCTACAATCCCTTTAGAGACTTGACCGTGGAAGTCTTCATTTTCCCGAACAGCTGAATCTAGCGCTTTTATTTTGATTCTATCCACCTTACCACTTGATATGTGCTCAATGTCAATGTCAGGCTTATAGGTGATTTATATCAACCAAATTCAGATGTACAAAGTTTTTGGACACACAACAAGTTGCTCCACTTTCCTTCAAATTATATTTGTAGACAGTGCTGTCCCTTTTCAACATTTGACTGTATTGGATTATCTGTGTTTCTCTTTATTATTGAGAGAGAAAGGTAATTTTGTTTGAACTTGTCGATTTTTATAATCTATAATTTATATGATACATAATAAAAAATATACAAATTAATAATTTTAATCATTTTATTACACTCTATTATAATCTTTATTCATTAGTATTATTTTGACTCTTAATCTCTTTAAATAGTAAAAATATTTTAAACATACAAAATTGTTATTTTTTTTCTCTCAACAAATAAATAAAAATAAAGATAGTGGTCTGTTTCATCAGAAAAGGGCCGAATGAGACCCCAACATAAAACACAGTAACGGACAAGGACACATATAAGCTCTGACATCCACATTGGAAAATAAACAGATACAGAGAACGATAATATGGGGTTAGGACAACAACAAGGTTGTTAGTTGGAGGAAATTTTAGAAAAACAATAAAAAGATAAATAATTAAGTGTTCTATTTAATTTAATTTAAATAAAAAATGCCAAAAGAATTCTTATTGGTCACATCGCGCGGTAAGAGGCGTTTTGTCCTTTCCTTGGCAACAGTGGCATGACATTTACGTATCTGCAAAAGTTACCTGTAACCTGTAGGTTTTGTTTGATTTTGGTGAAAAAAGCTTGAAAACAAATTAACAAACAAAAATATATAAGACAAGAAAAGTGTTAGGTTTCGAAGGGATAATTAAAAATTATACCGGCATTTTTTATATCTTGTGTATTTTTACTGTCAATTAAATAAGTGAATACAAAATATTTTTTCTTTTTATTTTTGTTACCTAAACAACAAAGAGTAGTTAAAGGCCCAATAGTTTCACATCTAATATCAATGTACTAAATCACTGAATTCTATCAGTCCATAATATTATTTACATTAGTGAAATCGTATTTATACAATTAAATTTCATTTTTATATAATAAAAATAGAAAAATAGAATAAAATACAAAACAAAGTAACTAATTAATAAAAAATTCCAATTAATGTTATAAAAATATATTTCATGAATAATATAATTACAGAGACATTGGGCTTTCGGGGGTAGATGTCTCATAAAATGGGCTTGGCTACATGCCGTTAGAATGAATCGCGTGGGGTCATGGAAGAGAAAATCTGAATGGGTTTGACCAAAAACAAAAAAGGAAATGCTGAATGTTCCACGGTGCATCATTTTGATTCTGAATATCTGCATTGCATACAACGTTCTATGATTTCGCACGGAAATTTCCGTTGATTACGGTCAAAGCACATCGATTTATCTCATGTGCTATTAATAAAGCTGACCGTGCCGACCAAGCTAGACTTCACCAATTTTTGTTGCCATAGAACTTGTTCAATGTCTCCAAATTTAAAGCTACAAAAGAAAAACTAAAATTTTATGATTCTGAAGTTAAGGTATGCCGCAAATTTAGAATGGCTGGTGTTAGTTAGGGTTCTTTTATATAGAAAAAAAAAGGGAGAGAAAAATAATATAAGAAAGGTGAAAAAAAAAAGGAAATAGAGACTATTCATTAGTAATATAAGACGAAATAAAATTTGAAAACAACAATATAAATACTTAAGATATTTTAATGATGTTTATTACAGTACTCTTAAATTTGACGAGACATTAAATATATATTTTTAGTTTATATTAAAATATTAAAAGATGTTTTTATTTTTTTAAAATACTAACTCTATTATTTATTGATATTAAATTAATAATCATAATTATTAAACGTGTATGAAAATATAAAATAATCTGTCATTTTATGAAACATCGTCGAAACCTATTTTAACATGTACCATTCTCAAGTCATTTTCACTCCCTTTAGATCTTTTTATATATTAGAAAAATGACAAAATAGATTGGGACAATCAATAAATATTTATCGAATAGCTAAATTATAAGATTAATAAGTGTTAAAAAATAAAGAGCATGTTTATTGTAATTTTTAAGTGTTTATTGACACTCTTAATTTAATAATTAGTGTCTTAATATTATGTCTTAATCAAATTTAATAATAGTGAATTTATGTACTAAGTAAGGATTAACTCGATCTTCTGTCTTGGTCTTCATCTCTGGCCCAAACATTAGGGTCAATCCACTTGAACTCCCTCAGTTTACCCAACACTTGTTCAATTTCACACTCGCCTAACCCAATGCAACATGCGATTCAGAACAATGAAATTCCTAGCTAAGAATGTTGGTGGATATAGTGGCATGTATGAGAAACACCAAAAGTCTTAAAGTAGCTAAAGTTGATGGGAGTTTCCTTCTTAGTTACACCCTCCCAAAGAGTTAGCGTACAAATAACAAAACTTGAAGAGGCTGGCATGTGTCCATGGCAGCTAAGGGGCCTATAGTAAAGCCTCTGGTCGTAAATGAAGTTTGGGCCTTCTGATGCATGAAGTCCTGTCTCATTTTAACTTTGTCAGACCTCACACCAAACAAAAAAATGAAAACTTTATATCAGACCAAGTCCTTCTGATGATAATTCAGTGGCATGAACTACTTTAGGACATCTTGACCAAAAAACTTAAAAAAAGAACTGCCTAGTACTTAAGCTCCATAACTAGAGTTCGAATACTAAGTTTAGCAAATGTTCACATTTTTCTCCCACATTCTTGTGACAATTTTTTTAATGTTAAATATATATATAATTTAAGTATAAAATTTAGACACTTAAATTTTTTAACAATTTTTCATAAATACAATATTAATCAATTCGATTGAAATTTTTATTAAAAAAATAAATTTTTTTATTAAAAAAATAAAATGAATAAGAGATTATTTGTTTTCTATTTTTTTAAAATTTATTTTTAAAAGTCAAAAAAATTATTTGTTAGCATAAACTTTATTTTTATTCTTATTTTTCTTAAAATTAATTTTCTAAAATTTATTTTAAATATAATTAAAAAAATTAAAAACCAAAATAAAAAACAATTCTTAAATATTTTATTATGTTACTTTATTTTAATGAATATTGTATTTTTAAAAATATAAATAAATATTAAATAACATATTTATAAATTATCAAACTATATAAGATTTGTTTTACATAATTATAGATTTAACGGTTGAATTAATTAATTTTATAATATTTTTTTTAACTTTGAAGAGGAAAAAATATTGTAATATATATTATTACTTTTAATTAAATTGTATATAAATACCGTAATTATTTTTTCTTAAGACCGCAATTTTCACCAAAGAAATTTAAAAAAAAAATCAAAACATATGAGACTTCAGAGCCTCTAAGTTAGCCAATCCATCACCACATTAGTTGGTTTCTTTTAACACATTACTAAATTTAACAAATTTAACACTATTAAATTTTAGTCTAATTTTTAAATTATTTTTTAACTTGTTATTCAACATTTCTGTCTTATTTATTTATTTCATATATTGTATATAATATAATTTATGAAAATTTCAATTTAATCTATATAAAATTTAAGAGGATCCTCGTAAAGTGAAATCATAGCAATAATATTTATTTAACTTTTTAACTCGAGGAAGATTACCCATAGTCAAAATTTATATATAATATTTTTAAGAAAAGTTGTAAACTTTTAATACGTTGATGTTATTAATTTTTTTTTTAAATTTTTTTTTACTATTTATTTAATTTTTATCATTTGTGCAAATTTAAAAAATCGTACTATTTAAACTGGAGAAATAATTTCCGAAAGAAATTGGGAGATGGCCAAAACATAGCCCACCATCAACGGCGACGTTGACGAAGAGTTCAACATCGGGATTGCTTGTTTCTTTGATATAAAAGTCTGAAGTTGTCAATTCACCATTTGACTTCAATTAAGACCCAGTTTCTGATATTTTAAGATTCGGCATCTAATGGGTATTGTAGTTCTGTGTTTCATTTGTTATGACTCTTAAAAGTTTGAGTCTTAGCTTTTGAAGCTGATCGTGGGTAAGAGAAAAGTTGAGAACTTTATTTATAGAATAGCAACTGTTCAACTATTGGAACAATCGGTTTTATCAAAATGAGGAAGCGTCAGGTTTTGAAGCATTCAATTGCTCTTGTAAGCGTGATGGTGTGTGCTTGCTGCCTTTTGATTGTGACTGTGACATTTCTCAAGCTTCCAGAGGCCCCAACAAAGAGTGATAAAATGGGGTTTTACCCAATAATCAGATCCAGAAAAGTTTATCTTCAAGATGTGAAGTTGGGCAAGTTTGGGGAAATGATGGTAGATATGTTGCCTCAAGATCTTGCTTTTACTATTTTTGTTCCTTCTGAGGAAGCTTTCAAGCGAGATCTGCGTATGTTGGTGAATGATAGTTTGAAACCAGAAAAGTTCAATGATACATATGCAATTGTGACTCGTATATTGGGATTCTCAGCTGTTCCTCGTGCACTTTCTTCAGCTAATGTGCAATTGGGTCAGCTTGTGTCCTATGATTCATTATCTGGGTTTCCCTTGTACATCTCAAAAGACATCGATGGAATGTTGGTTGTTAACAGGATTCGATCAGAGATAGTGGATGTTAGAAAGAGGGAGATTGTTGCACATGTCATGGATGGGGTTATTATGGATGCTGATTTTGAGCAATCGGTTCTAGCTGATGATGATACAGAGGAGGATTGATTGTATTCAGGTTTTGCCCTTCAATTTTTGGCTTCATATTTTGTTGTATTCAATTGAGGCTTGTACATGTAAAATTGTATGTATTATTTTACTTTTTCTTTAAAATAGTTGAAGGTAAAAAGGTTTTCATTTTCTAACAGCATATGTTGAGATATATTTACTTACGGATCTTTGGTGATGTTCCTGTTCCATTCCAATCAATTTTTGTTTCATACATACACGTCCGAAATATGAATTTTGATTTTCATATTTCTGCTGAGTAGTTGCTTAATAAATACTTATGGGGGCTATGTTGTAAGATCTTGTTCCCCATGTAGATATTTTGCTCAGAGAAATATTTATATTTTCTGACGTATTTGTGTGTACATATATTTTCAATAAATCAGAATAATAACCAGAAGCTCAATCATTTTTCACAGCTGATGAAGCTGTTGCAATATAATTACTAACACTGAATATAATTAGTTATTCTATCCGCCCATCCTTTTACACACCTTGTTACTTTCATGAATACACACACATATGGGTTTTATCATCATTGATGATAGAATCAGAGTTACAACAGTAGGGATTGATATGAATGAACCACATGCGGAAGGAACAAAATTCATAGGGTAAAAAAATCGTTGTGACATGTTACATGTATTTCCCTACACCATGCAGGAATGCTCATGTCATGACCAACACAAAAGGTCGCAAAGGTGGAATTGTCTTGGTCCATGTATTGATTGTATTATATGACATTGCCCATAGAGCTCCCAGCATCACAACCCTCTCAAACCTTAACTTCCAGCTGCACTAGGTACAGTCACTGATTTTGAGTCTTCTGCCCTCTATGTTCCTTGTTGAGTATCTCATATGATTAATTCCAATGTTAAAAAGACAAAAATCACCCAATTTGCAGCATGTTTAACTTGACAAGCTTATCTGGTCTATCGAATGCCTAGATACTAAACTTGAATTTAAGTGAAGTTTAATTAATTCGAAATAAATGACCCCTCGTTAATTTACTGAACCTCGAGAAACAAAGCATTGTGAAACCCAAGGGAGGAACCCCAGCATATAAAACTAATATCAGCGAAGAGTGATAGGCAATACTAGCAGCATGATTCCGTAGTGTATCTGACCTTGTTAATCAAGTTGTGGAGTGCAATTACACTTCTGATGAGAGATGATAGGTATATTACCAGCATCATATCATTTGTTTTCACTACACAATGAGGACACGGATCAACAATCTAGAAAGGACATTGCAGAGAACTATGACATTCGTACTTAACACTAGTTCACATTCTTGAACTACAAAAGCCTTGAACAGATCAGTCACATCAAGATTTGGCAGCAGGTTGAATACATCCTACCAAAATAAACATGAGATGGTGAAACACAGTAATACCGTAATGGAGTAAACCTGCCAAAAATAAAAAGCTTCTCCTCATGTAAGACAGAGAACAGAAAAATAAGATTATTTCATGTAATATTTTTCCACTCGTTAAATTCAAATGATTGATTTAAAAATCCAGTTCTAAGCGAAGCTAAGTGATGTGGATAGACAGAAAATAATTTAAGCAAAATTCATGGACCATCTGATAACAGTAAAAGAATCAGCAGTTACTAAGAAACAATGAAAACCAAGATGACACAGGATCTCATGGTTTAAGGGAAGCTTTCCATCAATTACAAGATCAAGGTAGGTAACTTCTTATCTCGCTGAGTCTTGCATCCAAACGCTTCAAGGCTGTGAGTTTTGCACTTACCTGCATAAAACAAATTAAGAGGTATGAACAAAAGCACCTCTGATCAATTATATACAAAGCAGGATTTGAATCATAGCTGCAACAATGCATGGCTTGATCATGCTGATTTATCTTGTTTCATCATGTTTATTACTAAGGATTAACTCCTGGTGGGAACAAATGTCACGTGCATAATTGCAAATTATGATAAGAAATTAAGAATAACAAAAAATATTATCGAGAGCTAGCCAAACACTTGTTTAGGGATGATATCCATAATCAAGGGGTCACATCCATTCTCACTTTCCTTTTGCTCTCAATCAATTTTTTTTTTTCTGTACAAATTTTTAATAAATTTTAATTAATAATAAAAAATATTGTAAAAATAAATTGAGCCGTTTGTCAAAAGACCTAATGTATAATTATATATTGTCAGCCTATTTAAATAAATAAAGTAATAATTTGATATTATATATTTATTTATTAATGTTTAAATTTATATATATATATATATATATGTATATAAAGCTTAAGCTCGTTAATTTAGAGGTAAAATTTTGAACATATTTAAAAAATTATAAAATAAATTTTAAACAGACTTATACATTAAATCTTAAAAGTAATTTATATCAAATAATAAGTCAAATTCAAAATTAAACTAAATTTCGACTTATAAAATTTAACTTGTCTCAGCCCATTTTTAGCTCAACGTACGTGTTACCGACGTTCTCTTTCTCTAAATAATAAATGACAAAACTTAGTTTAAGTTCTTTATACTTTTGTTATGAATTTTTTCTTTCAAACAAAAACACGTTATATTTGTTTTACGATAAACAAATTCCATTAAATATGCTTTATAAAAATTTAAATAAATATATATAAGTCATTGTTTAATTAGAGAACATAAAAAAATATAAAAAATTGATTTACATTTAAAGAAAAAAATTATAAAAATATTTAAAATTGTATATAATATTTCAAAATTTGAATCGAAAGATCCAATTAAAATGAAGCTCAAGATTGCTTCTTTTGTAACTAATTGAATATCTTTGTTTGTCAGGTCAGGGTTCTCGGGACATTAGAATGGTAGAGGTGAATATAATGAGTCTGCAGATAAAATGAGTTAATCCACTTGAGTCCATATTTTAAATAGATCTATATCTTTTGAGCCAACCTGCATATAGTCTATTAATACGTTTTTAGGTAAAATTTGTGGAAATTTTAGTTTTCATAAATAATACAAAATATAAAAAAAATAGTAATAATCTTTTTATAAACTTGTGAATTTGTTTTAAAATTCTAATATCTGACTTTTCACACAATTAATACAAAATAAATTGAATATGCTACTTAATAGTTAAAAACTAGGATAATAGTATGAGAACCAAATATAACCTTAATTTTCAATTCTTAAAAGTTAAAATCAAACGCAACACTAATTTTTTTATTTATTAATTTATTCAATGTAAAAAAAATTAGATTACTCAAGTTCATAGATTGGCCCATAAACTTGTGGACTGTACCTTTTTAACTCATAAGTTCTCAAAGAGAGAAAGTTTGGGGCTGATGCATGGGATAGGGCCGTATACCCAACTCTAGAGAAAAAAATAAAATAAAATAAAATAAAATGCTTATTTTGTAATAATATTACAAAAGTATAGTGTAGTTTTGATGACAAACACGTGGGAAATGAGAAAAAAAATATAGTACTTTCAAATTTTTTTTGTCTGTTGGCAATTTTTCTTTTCAATTTTATTGGTTGATTTTTTAGCTTATTGGGATTTTACAAATTGAATATTTGAAAGAGGAAAAAAAAGTAAATTTCAAAAGAGAATTCCGTGGTACCTGTGTTTTGAATGATTCATGCACACTGAGTTCTGAACGAGGACATAAAAAAGTGCTACTGTATTAATACTTCGATTAAAAGCCAAAACCTACCGGATTGAATCTGCACGAACAATTTAGCTTGAATATAACTAATAAAATAATGGATGATCAAAAGCCAAAACCAATCGCATCGAGTGAGAGCAATGTTAAATTTTTTACATTAATATTAATATTTATATTAATTTGTAGATTAATATTATTAAATTATTATAATTTTATTGTAATTAATTATGACATAAAATAAATATATATAATTGGTATTAAATATATAGATTTTATGATTAAGTTTTTAGTGTGAATATTTTGTGATGGTGTGACAGGTTGATCATTCTATGTGTTGAACAAGAAATTTTTTATCTTATTTGATTAAACTTATATATATCTATTGCTTTATTAAAAAGTTAATAGTGTGAGATAATAACAATTAGAAAAGAAAGTAGTACACATTTACTTGAAAACAATTATGATTTATGACCGACAGGTTTTCATTAAATACATATTTAATATAATTATTTAATTATATATCATTAAAATTATATTAAGATATTATAATCTGTGTTATATATAATAGTCAGTATCTTTAATTTTATATATAATATTCTGCAACCAATGGTTTTCATAATTGATCCAACTCCATCTTTCTCCGAAACAAAATTAAGATTAATTTGAGAATAACGATGAATGGCATCCCCAAGTTGGTTAGGTATATATATAATTTATTGTGAGTAAATAATTCATGATATTCAAAGATGGAAGCAGACCCGAGGTATGACTCATTTGTAGTCGTAGAACAGAAAAGCACTTATCCCTTTTGCATTCCAAGGTGAGACATCTCACGAAAGGAAAGGAATTAGAATCCCAAAATTAAAATGTTAAAAAGTATAATCCAACAGTACTTAGTGAGACAAAACCAAGCTGAAGGAGCATGCAGGAGAATGTCTAGGCATTTATAATATATTTTAGATATATGGATATAAAATTGATCACTAAGTAAATATTAATTTGAAACTACATAATTTTTGTATTTTTAACGGTCCATGATACACTCCTAAGTGCTTTCTTTTTATGCTAAACCTAATAAGTTCACTGAGTAAATAACAACAATGAATTTATTAAAACAAAATATTTTCCCCTCCCCCATAAAAGATTGATGCCTTGTTTACACAAAGTTCAAGCGCAGGTCTAATGGTGGGTGCTCCATTTGTTCTCCCAATGTGTATGAAAACATTGAATTACTACCCCCACATTCATCTGCATGCAAGTACTCCAGCTTCTCTGATTCTGATTCACCAAAGGAGTTTAAGGGGAAGAGTTGAAGAGTCTCAATCACCCTATCTGGCTCCGAAACTTGATACATCTCTGCAAGATCAACAATAAGGAAAAGTGTCAAAAACATATATAGACCATCTAAACCTAAATAATAAGGTTCCATTCAGTGCATATTTAGAAAGTTTTATTTTTAAAAAATTGATAAAAATAAAATAATTACACTTAAAATGCATTTAAGTAACAGCTTACTTAAACGATTATTCAACAAGTTTTTTATTATATAAAAAAATTATTAAAATAAATTGAAAAATACTACATAAATTATAAATTATCTTTACAAACTTTTCCAAACAGTTTCTAAGTGAGATATATATATATATTCCCCCCATGATCTGATCAGGTATAAAACTACTTACTTTGTGTAGAAGCATTCATAAAATTTTCTCTAGGAATCACATCCTTCTCATAAAAGGAGACCTTACGGCGCTTCTGTCTTTCCCTAGCCTTATGGTTCTGAAACCAATAGAACACATTTTTGCTCTCTATCTTACCATAAAAGCTTAGCTGAGTGGAGATCTTTTGAATCTGATCAGTGCTTGGGGTGCGGAGCCCTGACCTGAAGAGTTCAGTGAGAAGTTTAACTTGTTCAGTGGTGGGATTCCAACGCCCACACTTAGTGCCACTTGTGTTCCCACTTTTATTACCACCCACATTTCCTGATCTAATATAAAAGCCTGACATACCCTCCTTCATTTTTTGCTTCCAATATTCCTCTCAATGATTCAGCTCAAAACTTTTGCTCTGAGTTCATCTGAACTATAAAGATCCTAATCCGTGTGAATATATATATAGATATATAATACCAACTGAATAATCTAATGTCAAAATCTTTCTCTCTATTTTTTTCCTTTTATTTTTTTATTGCTTTTGTGTGGGGATCACAGATCTTGTAATCGACGTTCTGTCTGCTTTGAATTTAGGTGATGGGAGGGACCATTATATGCGGATTTTTTTTATCGGACAAATCCTTATATTTTTTTTTCTAATAAAAATATATCATGTTACACTTATTACACTTTTATAGATGAATTCTTGCACTTGTTATGTTTTTACTAGAAAAAAAGTATCAAAGTATCTACTAAAATAACACTAAATCTTGTCTTTTTCTATGATATATGTGGATTTGATCAACATTTAGAAGGGTGTTTTTTCATGCTATTAAAGAAATATGAAGTAAAGTCATGCGCAAAAGCAGCCAATGTTCATCGTTTCGGTCTTGGAGCAGCGAACATACACGTTTCACTAATTGAATATTAACTATATTGTATACGATCCTCTATAAAAATAAATTATTTCCTCGAGTTCTTCTTCTTAGACACAACGCAATGTGTTTTTCAGTAAAGGTGCACTTACTCCCAAATTTAATACTGTTATCTAGACGTATTGCCATTATATATTTTTGTGTAGTTTTCATTGTCTTATCTCTTATGCTTAGTGCTTCGACAGCATACTTATCAGATTAAAATCCAATTCTATAAAGACATGTGAGTTAAGCCAAACTTCGCTTTTAAAAAGAAGCGGATGTCCGCTAAAGTTCATAGAGAATAGTTAAACGTTGTTACATATATTAGAATAGATTTCACTAGGTTAAAATTGAATTTTAACTAGATTGAAAATAAAAAAATAAGTTGTATAAACACATTTAACTTTTTTTAAATGAGAAAATGTATAAAATAAAAAAAATGAGATAACTTTTTTATCATTGATTTGAATTAAAGTATTTTATAAATATAATTTACTTTAAATTAATGATAAATAAACTCCCACTTTCTCATTTTACCTTTTTTTTCACTTTAAAGGATATAAATATATGTAAACTTATAATTTAATACAAACTTACTTTTTTATTTTAATTTTTACTTAAATAAGAAATAGCCATTATGAGATGCTCCTAATACTTACTATTTGAAGTAGAATGGAATGGCAAGGAAATGTAAGTCAATGTTACACGCTTAATCATCGTATGATCTCTGTTGGAGGGCTGTGATCGTAAGAGACTGACAGAGATATATTGAATTAGGTTGACTAAGGTTGATGGGAATCTTCTCTTTTAAGATTTGGGAGCATAACTTTAGAGACGACAGAGGCACCAAATAGAAAGGATTGGAGGGACAACTTCCGAACAGCACAGAGCGGGGCAACTTGACTCTCTAATATTAACGCCATTTGCTCCTGGCTTTGTTGCAGCCCTACAAATGGGTTCTCAAGCCTCCTCCTTTCTTTCTTCTGAAACTTTTGAGACTTGTGATGGCATATTTACCTAATTTTAGAATGAGAATTTTGATTAGTTATACTTTAAAATTATTATAAAAATCATTATTATTATTTATTAAACTATTTTACAAATAAAAAAAATATATTAACAACTATAAATATTGACATATAATAATAAATTTCTTTTAAAATTAATATACTAACAAACTACTTTCTCCAGTCTTTTTATCAAAAACAGAATAAAAATAATAATAAATTTAAAATATATTAAATGTTAAATTTTTTAAACTTTTTTATTAATATCGTTAAATATATAAATTATTAATTACACTGTTTAATATTATGAATATTTTTAAAATAAAATTTATATTTATAAAATATATAACTAATTTAATTACTTATTTTAATTTTAGTAATTTAGTTTTTATTTTTTATAAAAAGGATATGAGAAAAATATAATTTTAATATATTTTAAAAATATCGTTATAATTTATTAGCATGTTTGTTTGAAAAATAAGGAAATGTGTGTACAAGACTCAAGAAATACATGATATAATGAATAATAAAAAAACATTAATATAATTTTTAATAAAAAAGTTATTTTATTAATATGAGATTGCTAGTGAAGAAAGGACAGAGACCACATTCTTCCGCGCACTTTCAACAATTCCCGAGGATGTTGTACTGTTCATAAGTCTCATTTTGTCTCTTGAAACTTGGCACAAGCACAAGGTGTTTGCCTGCTCTAACTGCTAGCTCTTTTGGACTGTACCTGTTTGCCAGCTAGCCACCTAAGAACTATAATTTCCCCATTTTTATACAAACAAGCCTTGGAGCAACCCATTTAGCAACATCTAACTTTGATTTTAAATATTTATTTATTTGAACATTACGTATACATAAATGAAATTTTTCGCTTCGTTTAGTTCGCTTGGTTATTGAATAGAAGCATAAATCCAGCCTAACTTATATACAAGTTAAAACCAACAGAATCTATCAAACATACAAGATTTCTTCGGTATATTAATAATTTTAAGGAAAGAGAATAAATAACTAATAATAATAAAATTTTATTAAAAAATATTTATTATATTTTTATAATTTTAATGCAATAAATATATATTTTTAATAAAAAAATTATTTAAAAATATTCAAACTTACCTCTAGTAGCCAAGTTAACAAAATCAAATCCTAATTTTGAGGTAAATTTAAGATTGTTGAAAGCGACTTGCTTTTAGCTAGCTAGCTTCATGCACGTATATAAGGAGTGGAAAGCGTTAGGTTTTATTAGGGTTAGGATGGGGAATAATTTAAGAAGTGGAAAGCTAGAAATAGAAGGACGCCGCCATCCGTCTCCTTATCATCGGTGTCTTTTACTTTCTTGTCTCCGCCACTTTTGTCGGTGCTTTTACGATAACAACTACCGAATATGCGGACAACGTTATAAAAACATTGGTACTTGGCATCATGAGATTGCAGTTACACTTGCACCCCCGTTCCTTCTTTGAATTAATAATAAAAAAGTGTGTTGGATTACTAATTAACAAGACAATGTATACAATCCTTCCAATGTGGATGTGCATTTGAGTTAAGACAAAAAAGACAGATTAGCATTAACAGGAGTCAAACATTCCGTCTTACCAACACTGTCCATAACTGGGAGAGGTTGCTTCGCCCACTTCTATAATGTGAATATTGTGATGTCACAGTGTCTCGGGCTAGTGGGAATCTTGGAAATACCCTCAGGAAAAAAAGAGAGCATAGTTTTTGTGAAGGCAAGTTAGGTTAATATATTGGATTAAAAGGTGAAAGAAACTATGGAAGTACGTACAGCTTAATTGGCTAATTAGAACTCACTCACTTTTGACTTTCCTGTCTTCCATGCTTTAAGCTTTGATTGATTGGGGGTAACATGGCAGTAAAGAAAATAGATGAAAGAAAAACATTAATTGAGGAAAAGAAAATAGAGAAGAAATAAAATAAAAAATCACATAGGACTAAAAATAACTTAAGAGAAAATCACAACGGGAAAAAACATGGCTGTTCACCTATAACCCTATTTACCATATTATTCAAATAATATAAAAGTAATTTAACATAATTATATTTAATTTTTTCCTCATTTTAATGCTTCCAACTAAATAAAAATAGAGAAAATAAGTTGCAATAACCAGTGATTTCTGTGAATATTTACTCTATATTTGTGCACAATTCCCATTTAATTAGTACGAAGTTGCTGGTCCTACAAATCCTGAAAGTGAAATCACTGGCCCCGTTTCAATTTTGCTATTTAATTTTTTCCCTTTTAAAACAACCGAATAAGTGTTAAACGGTATCATGGATTGTACATATATAATTCCATCCATGGATTCTCTAATCTATACCGCTTTTAATGACAACGACACCAAATTACATGTTAATCAGTTTTCTTCTTTATTTATTGGCAAAACTTTGTTTTCATTATTTAAAGCATTCGTATTGAGATATCTTGCACTTTTAAAGCAAAGAATGGATTTAATTTATCATAATCTCAACTATATTTTTTTAATTAATAGTTATAAATTTCTAAAGCACATTTTGTAGTTTAAAAAAGCCAAATCATACCCTAATTAAAAGAAATGAGTAGACAACACGAATGATAATAACAGAAAGACATCATCAATTTTAATAGTTAATCTTTCAATCAAGAGTTATCACTCCACATATTATGAATAAAATGCATCCCACAATTTAATAAAGTCAAAATTACTTGTTTAGTTAAAGAGGGGAATTGATGACACTCGCAAAAACTACAATGAGAATCCAATTTCAAGAAATTTGACAATTTTTGCCGTTAAAGAGATTGCCTTGCAACGACAAATTGTTCCAATTCCAATTCCAATTTCAGTGAAAAAACTTTAAAATAAACAAATCAAATGTTGCTTGAAAATCATTGAATAAAAAAAATGATAAATTGCATAGAGACGAAATCGCTTCATGACATAGCTTATTGATTTACTTTAGCTCCTCAATGATTTTGAATGCGTTAAGCGAAACAACATATAAATTAGTATCAAAATTTGAACTAAAGATACAGGTTACAATTATTTTTCCATTTAAATAATACTTTCTTTCTCTGTTTTCATCATGGTTCTTTTGACTTTTTTTCTCTATTAGCATAAAGAAAAACAATTGAATTTCTTCCATTCAAAAACATAATAACTAGGGGCAGACAAGGGGTATGGTTTGATTTCATTAGAATTTTTAATTATTTTTAAGCTTGGCTTTATTTCCGTGTTGCTCTTGATAATTTTTTATGTATAAAGTTGAAAACCGAACTTCAATAAATTTTTGGGGGTCATGCTCTCAATCCATGTTCGGTTTCAGAGGCACGTTTCTTCAACCAAAGAAAGGTCATTCCACTACTTAAGATTATTGCAGCCATCTCGGATACATCACATTTATACAAAAATTTCTATTTGTTTTATCTAAAATATGGG